AGAGTTATAATTTCATTGGGGTTTCGAAAGTTTCTTCAAATCAACAGCAGGCTGTAACCTTCGAGCAAACAGCATGCAAACATTGCAAACGATATTACGCAGCTAAGCAGAATTTACCGTTGGACAAACTTTGGTCAAAAGGGTTAACCTGTCAGTTAGCCTTGGGAGAATTAGCCTACACATTCCAGGGCGGCATTCAACAGCTTTCTAGATATGCATTTACGTGCCCAAAGTGCGCCCCCTAGGGTAGTAGTCATCCTTGTCTCAATCTTCTACAGAGACGTATATTGGCGGTATTACTTAGAGTCAAATGGTAATATCCGCAAAAACGGTCTGATGGGAGTAAGAGCATATGGAAGAGGAAGATTGTGAACCCAAATCCAGCGTAACCAGACTATGAAACTACATCAAATCGACACAACAATTGCCAGGGCTTAAAACGAGTGGTGTCACCCCTCCCCGTAATGCAGGTGGTATTCTGCAAAATTCTGGGAAATCACGGTTAGGGTAAATGTTACAGGAAAGCTTAAGAATGAAGTACGGGAATTTGAGTCCTCCAGAGGAATACAGTTGGGCTTGTGCTGAATTCCAGAGAGGTTGCCTATTTATGTTTTATAAATTTAACAGTAACCATAGGCGTTACCCAAACTGTATCCCCAAATCTAACTTTAATTCTCCTAAATGCATAATAAGGCTGTAATGACTAGGTCCACACGAAGCGCAGTTAGGAATGCTTGTCGCGACTAGCTCCAGTCGAAAAAACACTTATGAACGCTTACTGCTACCGGCTTCTGGAACAGCCAATCACAGACCAACTCACATAGAACCTCCTGTGCTGACTGACGAGCAGACATCATTTCAGACACTGCCCGCTGACCGACGGACATGCGCTAGTCTGACAGTCAAATCTCCTCTTACCGATTCTCTATTCCTTCTGTAGAGAATAAACGGTTCCTACCACACTGGACTTCCCTTGATTTCTCCTCCTAAGGAACCGTGCCTGAAGGTCGCATTTACCAGGGTTTAACTTACGTAACCCCCTACGATAAGGCCACCGCTAGGACTGGGAGTCCCTATTACCCTGTCCCACCACGACAAGTCCCCGTGCTAGACCGAGGGTTAATTAACCAGTGTTTATAAACTACTGAATTTCTGTCAGCAGAAGGTGAATATGAAAATATTACGCTGCTGAAATCGGTGGATTTCAGATTGAATATTCATACTACATCTTGTACTAAACTTAGAGTTTGAGCTGCAGAGTGTACTCTAGGTTAACACATTAATTTCCAGTGAAAATAAAAATGCTTATAAGCAAGGGTTTCCTTTAAAGATTACGTATGTATAAAACATCGAATTGTACAGTGAATTGGCGAGGTTTGATCGCTGTGCTAAGTCCTCGAAACACCAGGCGAAATGATAAGAATGAGGGGAGGCCAAGGAAGCTCTATTGCCCATACCTTTATAAGCAAGTGGAATTTTACTTGCGGCTTTACTTACACTTGTCTTAAAACGGGTAATAGGTCTGCGTCTTTAAGACGGTAATGACAGTATTTTCAAGTAGGTCGAATCGATGTGTGCTCATTTCGGCCGCAGTATCCAGGTCTGGAAGGGTAATCTTAATATTATTGGTAGCAGCAGCAGCAGATAGTTTAACATTAGTATTAGTTGCGCCAGTAGTAATAGTAGTAGCATCTGAAAAAGTATAAAAAACGGCACGAGCAACAAATCCTATACAGGGGAAGTGGGGGAAAGTGTTGGAGATAATACGGTCCAACTAAACGGCAATGCCGATATAGCAGCGCCGCATTCTTCAGGCTCTTTGTACTCAATAACAAAACAGGGCGAAGCAACAAACAAAAATAGTTGCATAATCAGAACTAATAATCCTAGCAGCGGCATTGACTTGGGACTGCCTCATTGCTTTAAAATAAGCAGTCGCAGTGGGAGAGAGGCGATTGCATTCATGGTAATCTACGACGCCTATACAATTAGAAGCCGAAAGCAGGTGCCTGCGGAGGCGAACACGTAGCGGCATGCGGTAGAAGCTCGAAAGCGGC